GCTGGTATAACAATTTTACTGTACCATTGTGATTATATAACTTTTAGTAGTAAGGCATGTGCTCCTCCACTTATCTATATGCATGGTTGTAACAAAATAAAGTCTTGGAATTGAAGCATGCCGTAACGATATTAATCAAAAGTCTTCAGATTATTAAACTTATGTAATAGATATTTATTTGCAACTGATGAAGAAAGAAACAACGGAAACAGAATATGACATTGTCGATGACAAGATAAATAAACTTAAACTATAAGTAAATTGGGAACACAACATATTGCATAAGGTAACTCCAAGAGATTGGCCTGACGGCTAAGAATGTTTGCTTTCTTCATTGATTTTTTGAATTCAAACCTTGGGGTCACCTACTACGTGTAACTCCAAGGGATCTGGCGGTCAAGAATATTTGCTCCCTTCATTGATTTCATGAATTCGAATCTTGGGATCACCTACCACATTTAACTCCAAGGGATTAGCCTGATGGTCAAGAAGATTTGCTCTCTTCTTTGATTTCTTAAATTCGAACCTTGGGGTCACTTACCACATCTGTGGTTTACCTTGAAACATTAAGCTTGTCGAGTATTCAATGGGCCTTGGAGATTGGTTAAGGTGCATATAAGCTGATCCGGACACCCCGGTCATTAAAAATAAAATAGAAAAACATATTGCATAGGGCTGAGGAGCATGTAATAAAGAGGCCACAGCCACCCACATGTCTTATGCATTTAGACAATCATCATCAAAGCTTTTATATATACTTTGTGGGAGAAAGGACAGCCTTGGATTGGTGTTGAACTTTCAGCACTCTTTTTCTTCTTTCTTCGATTCAGTCTCAGAGATTGGTGACCGTTTAAATAATCCTCCAAATTACTCTGCTGGGTCATAGTAGATTTCGACATCCTCTACCCTCAGTGATTCATCAACCTCTCAAGTTTATTTCTCACACTTCAATCTCAAAATTATGCTAGAACCTTGATTTGATTTTATCAGTTATATAATATGTTTTGAAATAATTATACAAATCTCGACCACGAAAAGTAGAAACCTTTCAGAAAGTTGGATAAAATTAGTTAATAATAAAACATGTTAGCATGAGCATATATATGACCAAAAAGTAAAAAGTTTTTATTCTACTAATAAATATTTTTTCCTTTCATGTACATAATCTTAAATATTCAAATTTATGAATCTAAAATTATTGACTGAATTATAGGTTGCATTAATTTCAGCTGCAGATACAGCCATGTATTAAAACAATAATGCTACGAACACTGGCATTTTTACACCGAAATTTTGTACCGGTCTACGTGTCCCGTGATTCACACCAGCAAATCAGACACGTTTCACGTTATTAAATTTTGTTCCAGTGAACGGCCGTTCATCAAATATGAACGGCCGTTCACTTACATGGACTCCCGTCCATATTATATGGACGGGCGTCCCCATTTAAAGGACGCCCGTCCACCAATAAAATAAAATAAAAAAATATAAACAAAATTAAGGGACGACCGTCCATAACTTGGGGACGGTCGTCCCAAAAAATGGACAGACGTTCACATATAATGGACGGGCGTTCATATGGTAATGGACGGCTGTCTATTAATTTTTTTTAATAAAATTTTATTAAACAAAATTAATGGACGGGCATTCATATGGTAATGGACGCCCGTCCATTAACAATGCTTTTAAAAAATTAAAAAAAAAATTTGGACGCGAGTCCACAAGGAATGGACGGTCGTCCCTCATGTGCCATCAGTTTGATACAACAAAGAGAGTCAAAATTCCTAAAGATTTTTGACAGCATCTAGGGAAGCAAGGTCGTTTCTGACAACATTTTTGAGAAAGAAATTGATAAAAGAAAAATTACAGATTTTTGATAGCATCTAAGGGATGAGGCAAGTGCTGAGGTGGTAGAGTTGAAGAAGAGTCTGGGAGAGAAGGGAGTGAAATTGGAGGGATTAGAGAAAGAAATTGATGGGTTGAAGAGTGAGAAAGTTGATAGTGAGAAGAAAGTGAGGGAGTTGGAAAGAAAAGTTGGGACTTTGGAAGTGAGGGAATTGGAAGAGAAGAGTAAAAGCGTGAGAGTTGAAGAGGAAATGAGAGAAAAAATTGATGACAAAGAGAGGGAAATTAGTGGGTTTAAGAAGAAAGTTAATGTTATGGAGTCTGAATTGGATAAGTGGATAGTTGAGAAGAAGTCAGTGGAGGGAAGTTTGAAGGAATCAGAGAGCAAATCCAAGGAAATGGAGGCCGAGATTACTGAGTTGGAGAAAGAGATTGATGAGGCGAAGATGTGATTAGTGGACTCAAGGAGAAGATAACTTCCAATTTTGATTAAGGGACGGCCGTCCAGAAATGGTGAACGGCTATCCCTTTATTTTATTTAAAATTTTATTTTTTTAAGTATGGATTGGCATCCCTTATATGTGGACGCCAGTCCACACATTAGGGACGCCTGTCCACAAGTTAGGGACGGGCGTCCAATTCTTTTTTTTTTTTTTTTTTTTTTTTTTTTTTTTTTATGGACAGACGTCTTTTAAATGGGGATTTTCATCCATCGTAAATGGACCCCATCCATATAATATGGACGGGAGTCTATAGTAAGTGAACGGTCATCCATAGTTGATGAACGACTATTCACTAGAAAAAAATTTAATAACGTAAAATGTGTTTGATTTAGTTATGTGAATCACGAGACATGTAGGTCGGTACAACATTTCGGTGTAAAAATGCCAGTGTCATAACATTATTGGTATTAAAAGCTGGGCCATTCTTCAATTGATAATGCCAGTGTCACCTAGACAGATCTGCAAAAATTATTTTACTTCAAGGGCAATGAATCCTGATGGATGATATCACCATTTCATTTAATTAATATCTGTCGATTAAATTATTGAAAATAATTAGAATTACTAAATAAGGAAGATATTCTGTTTTCTCTCTCTCTCTCTCTCTCTCTCTCTAATTTATACTACTTCTGAGATTATATGCGAAAATATTATTAAAACATTAAAAAAAAATTAATTTTTTTTAATAAATCGTTGAATGTATAACTTGTACAAAGTCTTGGACCCCATCATAAACAATCTCGAAGCTTCATCAAGTGAAAGCGGAACCATGTTTTGATCTCTGGAAGTTCGATCGGCCATGCATTTTCATGGGGAGATGAAGTAATCCGAGGGATTACTACATACGTAAAAAATGCTACAATTAGAACTTAAAATTAAATAGAATTCAATTCGGTTGAAGCATAGGGAGAATACGTGGCCGGTGGCCAAAATCCTTGGCGTCAGGAAACCAGTAACCAGGATTTTAACTTGATGAAGGTTTCAAGATTTTCTAGTTGAAGCCATCGGTGAATGTTTGAACCCCACAAATTTTATGTGTATTTTTATTTAAAGATGAAGTTGATGGCTTATGGAGTGGTTGAAATGAAAAGAAAATTGTTCTTTTTCTTTTGGAATTACATATAAGATACCTTCTCATCTCCAATATCTACAGTTATTTATGAATCACACGTACAGATACATCAAATTTGAGCTACTCCTATAAGTCGTGCTACTCCTATAAGTCGTAAAATAATTTATTTTAAATTCAATAAGCACTATTGAAATGCAACCAAACAACCTAATTTTTTTTTAAATAATTCTTATAGTTTTAAATAAGCTCTTTTAGCCAGTAAACAAACCCATCCAAATAGGTTTTATTTTAAATACCATAAGCACTTTTGAAATGTTACCAAAATCCTTTGGCATTGGAAGGTCTTGAAGATAAGGAAAATGATTTTTCATGTAACTATCAAGCTGATGAGGAGTGGTTGAGCAAGGGAAAATTTTCTAATGCATGAGCGGTTGACAAAGGTGTGGTGAAAGTGAGCGCTAGTTTGTTTGATTGAGTAATGAGTTTATATTTTGAAATTTTATAAATTATTTGGTTGCATGTGGATTGTACTTATATGATTTTAAACTAAAGTTATTTTAAGTCTGTTGAAAAATAAATAAATTTATTTTAGCTTATTTAAAGTGTTAAAATTTCAAAAACATCCTTATACTATTTTATAAATTGAACCTTATACTTTTCTTGTATATTAAAATATTTTTTTTACTAATTTAAGTTATAACATATTTTTATATTTTTCAAACTAAATAATTAACAAAATTTTCATAAAATCTCTAAGTTGATAAGTTCTACTATATTAATAAATTAACCTAAGGCTGCGTTTGGTTCGAGGTAAAATAAGATTACTCCAATAATCTTCGTTTAATTTTCAAGATTCCCTTATTTTATTTACAAGTAATAAAATATTACTGTAATCTTTTGTTGCAAATAGTCTTTACTGTTGGTAATATAAGGGGTAATCAGATTACCTTGCCAATGGCTGTTATTAAAAGATTATTAAGGTAATCTAATTTTTATACCTATTTTGCCCTTAATTAAATATCATTTTAGACACAATTATCCTTAAATATCTACCAAATAACCATTAGCCCTGATCCCTTACATTTGAGATGACAGATCCATAGCCGAAAATGGTTTTATCGGCGCACAACTAGCCAGATCCGACCGATCCTACGCCATTCCAGCAACTGCCCACAGTGATGATTGGCTGCCAATAGTGGCTTGGGATGGGAAGGGGTGATTTTGCTATAAATTAAAAGCTTTATATGGCTATGGTGTTTTAGAAAATTTCAAATATAGGGGTTTAAAATAAATGATTCAAAAAATAATAATTAAAATAACATTTTATTAATATTTTAAAAGGAGAGCAACTTAATATAACATAGTCATATATTTACCTTCTAACCAAATATATCAATATAACGTATCTATAAATTTATTCCAACCTAACCAAATGTATTTCTTTAAATATTTCCAATAATCTTCAAAATAATCTTAACATTTCTAATAATACAATATTATACTAAACAAACTACCTAAGCGGTGCTTACTTTTGGAAAAATACTGCTTTTACCTTTAACTCATTTAAAACATCTTAAATCATAATTTCCACAGAAAAAAACAAGTCCAGAAGACTACACCAAAGGAACTAATTTGAGTCAAACTCGCTTGAGTTTTGACATCAATTTATTCAAATTTGATGAAATTAAAGAGAAATGACCGAGGGTTTTGAGCTTTCTAGGATTCTTTCTTGAAGGACAAACCTGAGCCACTGAACTTTTCTTCAAGCACTTTCTCCATGCGTTCGGCCATTGACGGTGTTAAATAATTTCTCCAATCTCCCACTGTACCATTCCTAAAAAAGGTATCATTTCTAAATCCAGTCGGGTGTTTACCATTCTTGTTCACCTCCAAAGTTTTTAGATTATCAAAGCTACACAACTTTGATATTTCTTCTACCACTCCTTGCCTCTCTTCATCTTCAGTGAAAGGACATCCTAAGAAATTGGCCAAATTCTTAAGATTAAGTTTGATGTCCTCTTTCATATCTTCATATTTCAAGAAGAGTACCTTTTCTGGTTGCTCTTGACTAGCCTTCCAATACCCCAAGATATGTTCCCAAATGGGGCCGTAGCCTTGGACTCCATTGCAAATCATCTCAAAAGCTTCCTCAACTGAAACCAGATTCATGTTTTGGTCTTGAAATCCAGACAAGAATTTCCAATGGGAGATGAATTGATCCAAAGGATTTCTGGCCACATAAACAATGCGACAATCAGAATTCAAAATGGAATTCGGTAGTGAAGCATACGGGACATGCGTGGCCAAAATCCTTGGATTAGGAAAGTCTTCAAGATTCGGAGACTGATTTTTCAAGTAAAGATCAACCTCCAAAAAAGGAACAAGCTGATGAGGAGGGGTGGTGATCAAGGGGCTATTTTCTAGAGGATAACGAGAACGGTTGACAATGGTGAAAGCGAGGGCCTTGAGCCAAGTGGTGCCTGATTTTGGAAAGCTGGTTAATATTATGTCACTCTCTTTTGCTTGGAAGTGTCTCTGAAAGGAGATCGTGGCAAAAACGTATTGAGATCGATTCCAACATCCTTGGTATTGATAGAGAGAAGTTCCATCCCAGTTTTTCTCTGTGGGAAGGTTCAACAGTAGTTCTTGAATCTCATTGCTTAGCTCTTCTACTGGAGCCGCGGCTTCTATTTTCTGTTTCTCCATGGATACTTTTGCTAATGAAAGGGAAATGATTGATTTAAGTCAGATGTGCGAGGTGAAGAAAACTATTAATTAAATTAAACATAAAAGATATATATAATCTTTCTAGCTATAGGCTATAGCTATAATTCACTGGTCAGACATGTGGCCCGCTATTCTTCAAGGGTGAGCTCTTAGATGTGACCCTTCACTATTGAAGGGTGAGCAAAACTCCAGAAACTACACCTAGTCCCCCAAAACTAGAGGTAGAAGTAGAACAAATGGGTCGGGTTAGGCTGATCAATCTGAACCCGGCCCGCATTCAAGAGGGTTTAACCTGAACTGTCAATAAGACGGGCCGAGTTGAACCCAACCCGCCAACAACCCTCGGGCAGGCCGAGTTGAGAAATGGCAACCCGACGACCCGTGGGTTGTTGTTTTGTCCATTCTAGAGAAAGGACTGTCAACTCGCCGGGTTAGCTGTTGGCAACCTAGCGGGTTGGCCGAAAAACAAATTAAAAAAAAAAAAGAATTTTTGTTTTTTGTTTTTTCCAATTACCTTTTTACCCTTGAAATATAGCCGTTGGAAGGGTCTTTTTGAAATATAGCCGTTGTAAGAGTCTTTTTCGTCATTTTCTTTTCACCTTTTTTTTACTATAAATTGGCCATAAACTCATCTTTTCTCACAACTCAAATTCTCTCATTCTCTCATTTTCTCTAATCTCTAATCTCTCAATTATTCATTTATTCTCTTAATCTCTTTATTATAAATTTACTCTTATTTTAATTTTTATTAGTTTTTGCAATTTTCAATTCATATTTCCAATTTTCCAATTTCCATATTCCAATTCTCTTTCTTTAATTTTTTATTTCTTCTACATCAATTTTTTTTTTCAACTACAATGGATAGATATTTCTCTCCCATCAGTATCAATGATGAAGAAAACTATTATCCTAGTCCTAGTCCCGCTGATTTTACTAACATAAATGCAGGAGATTCAAATAGTCCCGCAGCTTTCCCAATCTCAGAATCCGATAAACCTCAAAATATGTCCACAATTCCTCCCCATACAGCTCCCGGTGGTTCTAGAAGTTGTCCTCGTCCAACTTCATCTCAAGCTGAGGCGAGTTCATTAATTATTGTCGAAACCAAAGACAGACACACATTAGACGTTTGGGCGCATTTTGACAAGTTTTACGAGACAGAAAATGACGTTCAAGTCAAGAAAGCAAGATGCAAATACTGTGGAAATATTTATAAAGCTGATTCAGGTAATGATACTAGTACTTTAAAAATGCAGGCTAATAAACATATTAATCAATATGGAAGAAAGCAATCAAACTCAAATAACTAATATGGGTACTACTTGGCGTTATAATTCTGATGTATATAGGGAACAGTTAGCTTTATATATTGCTGCAACTGATCAACCTATTAATATGGCTGAAGATAAATATTTTGAAAGATTTGTTCAAAATTCATTTTTTCCAAGATTTAAAAGTTATTCTAAAACTGTAACTAGAAATGATTTAATAAAATTGTTTAGAAAAATGAAATTAGAATTAAAAATAAAATCATCTTGTCATATTAGTGTGGCTCTAACTGCCGATATTTGGAGTAGTAAGAAACTAACGATTATATTTTGTGACTAGTCATTATTTTGATAATGAATGTAAATTAAATAAATCTTTATTAGGATAGATTAATGGATGTTGATCATAGTTTCAACAAATTTAAATAATTGTTGAAGTTTTAGAAGATTATGATATTGTTAGTAAAGTGATAAGTTTAATTTTAGATAATGCAAGTTCTTAGTAAGTTATAGATTATTTTCAAAGTAATTATCCTTTATATAACAATTTGAAGTTTTTTCACCACGTTGTTCATGCCATGTTATTAATTTAATTGTGAAAAGTGGTATGAAACAATTAAAGAAAATATTGATAGAATTAAGATTGTTAGCTTGGATATTGGTAGTAATAAAGAATGCTGAATTTCAAGATGCTTGTATAAAATCAAATATATCTCCTAGAACATTTGCATTAGACATGCTGTTTAGATAGAATAGTACTTATTTAATGCTTGATTCATGTTTAGCTTATGCAATTTTATTAGTTATGTTGTACAAATAATAGAGGTCCTCATTATTTGGTAGAAAATGATTGGCAAATAGCTAAGTATTTCATTCTTTCTTAAAATTTTTTGCCAATCCACTTACAGCTTTCTGGTGTGTATTATCCTATAGTCCATTGATAATACATACGATTGTAAAATTCAGAGTTATTTACAAAAAACAAAACAATGAAATTTTAAAAGAACCAATAAAGGCAATGGAAATTTTTTTTTAAAATATTTTAAACCCATTCCTTTTCTTTATTGTTTAGGTGCCATTTTTTATCCTAGAATTAAACAAGAAGGTTTAGAAAATGGTTTAGAGACATTATCTGAAAATTTACAAAACTTAGCATTTGTCAATCAAATAGGAGAGGTAAAAAATTGTCTTGCAGAGGTATATTTCCAATATGAAAACAGGTATGGAAACCCGCAAAGACACGAAATACAAAGGGAAGTTTCATTAGAAGAAACAAATGAAGACTTCTACACCTGGAGTGCATTTAATAGGCCGAAGAGGAACCGAACCCGAAGCACAGGCGTAGCCTCCTCTTCAGAAGCACCAACGACAACAACGAATTTACTGTCCGCCATGCACTCACAGAGTAACGAGCTTCAACAATATTTGGGAACTCTTGAAATGTTACCAACAGATCCACAACAAAGAGCCAACTTTGATGTCTTGGAATATTGAAAAACCAGAAAATGTATTTTCCGGTATTATCAAGACTTGCCTTGGATGTTTTTGCTGTTCCAGTCTTAGCCGTCTCATCCGAACAAACATTTAGTGCAAGTGGAAGAATTTTAAATGAAAGGAGGATTAAACTTTGCTGTTCCAGTCTCAGCCGTCTCATCCGAACAAACATTTAGTGCAAGTGGAAGAATTTTAAATGAAAGGAGGATTAAACTTTCACCAAAAATTATTGAAGTCCTCACATGTCTTCGAGATTGGGAACGGTCGCGTCATCAAGGTCAATACGAGATTGTCGACAATACTTTAATAGAATCATTTCAATTTTGTAATATAGATGATACAGATAAGGGAGGTCCTAGTCAACCCCAAATTAATTGTTTTGTAAATTAATTATCAATTATTGCACTCTTTTTTCCTTACCAAGTTTTTGTCCCATTGGGTTTTTCTTGGTGAGGTTTTTAACGAGGCAATAATTATTGTAATTTTTTAATAAATGAATAAATTTAATTTTTCTTATATTACAATTTTAATGTATTAAAATTGAAGTAATATTTGGAATGTTAACAAAAAAAAAAAAAATTAATTTAATTGAATTATTGATATTAGAAAAGAAGTTAACTAAAAACAATTACATTTATTCATTTATAAATTGTTAATTATTCATTTGAAAAGATAATTAAACATTAAACTTAAACAAAACAAAACAAAACAAAATAAAATAAAAATAAAATAAAAAAGAGGGTTAACCCGGCCTAACTCGACGGGTTAGGGTTGGCAGGCTGGGTTGGGCCAGCCAATTCCCCATAATTGGCGGGCCTAACCCAGCCTGCCAATGTTGGCGGGCGGGTCAGGACCAACCCGCCACTTTGCGTAACCCGCAGCGAGCCGGGTCGGGTCGGGCTGGGCGGGTTGCTTTTCCACCTCTACCCAAAACTCCAGAAATTGCATTGTACCCCCACTATCATCTATTTTGGTTGTTAGATTGAATGATGACCGTGTTTGACCTTTAAAATGTCGCAAATTGCCACTGAAAATATTCAATTGCATATTTTTTGCGTTGACTGTCTTTGACTTTTGATATGTCTTTAATGCCTCTACAACTTTTCTTAATACTTTAGGGTCTGTTTGGTTTATTATTTATCCATATTCTATCCTTATTCCAAATAAAAATGCACCTTCGTTTCCTTATTTCAAAATCCTATACTAAATTAAAAAACTTTTAAACCCCTTAAGTTTGTTAATTGACAAAACACCTCCAACAAAAAAATTTATAAATTAATAAAAACGCCCCCAGCCACCCATAGTTGCCAGATTCCGGAAACCACCGTTGGTGGTGACCGAAATCTGTCACAACGGCATACAAACGACTGGAACTGGCCTGTAATTCGTCGATCTAGTCAGAAAAGAAATGGCTGTCATTGACGGTCAACAACGGCCATCTCTTTGGCCATCCTTGATAGCTAGATCTAGCCTTTTGTGGTCAGATTTAGACCAGATTTCGACGGTGGTGGCCAGAATCTGGTACTATGGGTGGGTGGGGGTGTTTTTGTCATTTTACAAAATTTTTATATATTAGGGTGTTTAGTTAAATTAGCAAACTTATGGGGTCTTTTGTTAATTTTTAAATTTTACCTCGTAATAATCACCAAACTCTGCCTACCAATACTATTTCAAAAATCTTATCCAAAATAATAAATCAAATGGACCCTTAAATCTTGATAAAAATCTATTTAAGATTATTTTAAATAAATAGAAAAAAGAACTTATAAATCTTAAAAAAAAAAAAAAAATTAAAATAATCTTGATATTGAAAATAAATATGAAATATTAAGAAATAATCTGAAAATTAAATTGGACTTAAAAATATGAAAAAAAATTAAGAACAAAAATAAAAGCAAAATTTTGAAAATATAAATAAAAATCATGGAAAATACATCAAATTTTAAGAAAAATCAGGTGCTAAAACATTTTAAACTATAAAAAATTAATAAAGATTTTGAAAAATAAAATAAAATGATGAAATATGGAATGCTGAAGATATTTATGTTGAAGAGTTTATTGCATTTCCTTTACAGTATTATTCCCTTTCCTTTATTGTATTCAAGGTCACTGTATAAATTGGCTGATGTACACATTACAATATACAATACAAAAATATAATTCTCTCTTTGCTTGATATTCTTTAATCTTCATTTCTGCCTTTTCTATCAAGCTTCC